CATGTTCTTCGACAACACCAAGGCGGAGTCACGTGCCAGCCAACAAATCTAGACGCGTCGATCAGCCGCGCTCCCGAATCCTGATGTGATCCCTGCAAGCCAGATCGCGTGGCAGATGATACGTCATTTTCACGCTAGTTGTCCCCACGCGTCATGGTCACGATCTCTCTTCTTTCTTATCAACAACAACACTCTCCCTCATCACTCAACATTTCGTGCGACTCGCCAGATTATCTACCGTCAAGTCAAAACATCAGTACTTTACCATCATCTTCAACAGTAACAACCGCAACCATGACGGAGTGGACCAAGAAGAAGTACAATGAAGCCTACACCGAATACATGCCATGGATAGAAGATAAGGTCCTTGGCTACTGGGGTGAGAACAAGACTAGCTACACCGCCAAAGGTAGGATGACCTTCTCTTCATCTCTCTTCTCCTCTTCCCTCCTCACCCCCTCTTTCCCTCCTCTTTCCCTCCTTCCCCTCACCTCATACCCCGCTAACCCCTCTTCTCCAACAGACAAACTCAACACCGACGTCACCGGTGACAAGAACGTCCAAGCCATCCAAGGCGGCATCGCCGAAGGTGTCGGCGGCCAATTCTCAAGCGGTGGTCTGTTGGGTGGGGTCGGAGACATGACGAGCAAAGAGGGGGTCAACCGCGCCGAGAGGGGGGACCCGGGACTGGACCCGAAAGAGTTGGAGAAGTTGAATGCGCAGAAGAAGCAGAAGGGGTGGACGGAGACGCTATCGATGGGGTATATGGGGGGCAGCAAGTAGGGCGGTGGTTGCGGGGCGATAGAGGTAGATGGACAGGTTGTTGGGGTAATTTGGATGAGATTGATCACTCTTGCTTACGAGCTTGTGCGCGTTGGGCTTTTATGACGACTGGTCGTTGTGGTGGACTAATGTTGGAATGCTTGTACGTCTGTTTGATTTCGGGGTCATGAACAGGCATGCTCAGAGTTATAGACATACTGTTGATGCTCTACCTGTTGAAGCATGAAGAGACATTCTGAGCGGCCATTTTCCTGTTGTTTCATTTGTGACTATTAGTTCTATTTGCATGGTTTGGAATTGTCAAATTCTAGTCAGGATGTCCACACTCCCTTCCCAAAACCATATCCGGTACCGCAACATCGCGTCCAAAAGCTTTCGAAAGGTGACGAATTGCCAGTATGATACGCTCATGGCGATCCACATTTCAGACCAGATGTGGCAAATGGCCGCTCTAATATGGCAAATCCACGGCTATAGATCGTGATCACATGTCATCCAAAGCTCAGCAAAGATAGAATTTGACAAGCGTCCATGAGCTCTCCCTGCCCAATTATGCCCATCTCGTTTCCAATCGAGCGGGAAGACCATCTGACAAGAGTCACACACCTCCAAAGCGCCATTTTTCTGGTTGAGGGAAGGCCCAAGAGAGCACTTCACTTTTGAACCGTCATTTGCGCCACCAGGCTATGGCGAAAAAAAGTCCGACAGCTACCAATACGGCCACGAAAAGTTTCCGCAAAATCGACATTGGATCGTAAGAGCTGTCCGATCGAGGGGAGGGGCGGTGCGTAGGTAAGATCGCGCGGGTCTCATGCCTCCGCGCTTCACGCCTTTGGGCAAGGTATCTGTCCACTTCTGCTGCTGCACCCTCGCGCGAGCGAGCCACGGCTTGCAGAGTCGAGGTCGCCGTCGGTGCTCGGACCAAGTATCTCGCCGGCTCTGAAATTCTGCGCGGTGGCACGGTTGGTCGGTTGATGGAGCCGTATTGGGCGAGGCTGTTTGCTTTCATGGACTCTAGAAGATCCCACCCTGGTGAGTAGGTGGTGGATGGATGGAGGGGGCTTTGGGGCGCAACGGATGTTCCGCGTCCCAACGGGGCCTCTGAACCAATGTAATCGAGCAGTTTTGCAAATGAGTCTGGCCTGAGTCTGAACCGTTCACCCGTCCTTTGCTCTCGGTAGTGGCGCTGCAGCAGCGCCCATTCGATCTGACGGGGGGACTCGGTGTTGACATAGCTCATTTTACGAAGTTCGATATCTTGGTCAAGAAAAAGCAGGATGCCGTTGTCAGGGTGGACAGGAGATGGGTGTATTGGAAGGTGAGAGGCACGAATACGCGGTATCGAAGAGTGTTCATTAAGACTCTTGCCACCGAAAGAGGTGAGCTATCACAGTTAGTATGCACCGAGAACATAGTGCTTCCAATTGAATCATTGGAGACTTACAATGAGCACAACAGCCTTTCTTTCGCGCTGGTCGGTGGCCAGAATCACAACAGGATGGTCAGAGCAGCCATCGGGGATTTCAGAACCCGAAAGCGAAAAGGGCTCGTCATCTCGCCGTTTTGGTAAATAGGAGAGTTGGCCAGGGATAAAGACTTCTGCTTCAACGTTAATTGCAGTAGGCATTGGCAAGGCTTCGGGCTCTCGACAACAGTTGGCGCAGAGTTAAATGGGATTGAAGTAAAGAGCAGCATTTGTTATATAAGTAAATGAGATATATTCGCTCGTTGAGAGTATGACTTGGCTATTTGAAAAACATGTTTTGGCATCCGAGCGCCCTGCCCCACCTGTGGCCGAGGCATCCTGCAGCAACCAATCATCGAGTGCACTCATGACGTCGCAGAGTGGCTTGTAAAAAGAAGCGCTCGCAGTACATCAGGGTTTGGAAGAAGACGTGGAGAAATCATCACCAAGACATTCAATGAAGAAGCTTTACGCTATGTTTCCCAAGCGGCGCTTTGCACCTAGCTTTGTATTACTGTCTTCTTGTCTAAAGTACCTCATTAGGGGTTTCGATACCTAATAACTCGACATTGATAGGTCTAATCTTGTAGCTGATTGGGGGGGCTTGGTACTAGTACCTTGCATTTACTCTGTTTCGTACAGAGCACATGTTGGCCAATGAAACTTACACTTAGAATCTCACGCTATCACACATGCGTCGTTGATTAATCTTTCTCCTTTCCTCAAAACCGTGACAATATCCGGGCCAGTAATTTAGAATTTCTTTTCTTCCAACGTCTAGAACCTTTATATGAATCTTCATACTCTACAGAATAGAGCTATCGTATACGTGTTGATGCACTGATAAATGAATTAAGAGGTAGCTATGAAAAATGGGTTCGGCATTTTCTAAAATTCGAAATTGCGGGGTGAACCCCCCTGTCAGTATGGGTATGAGGCCCTTTGTATCTTTGCGCCCGGGCCGTTTTCCGAGCCTTTTCTGTCACGCGCTTGGCAGCACGCGCATTGGCGCAATCTTGCATCTCCATAATTTTGATAGAGTTGAGACCATACAAGGTACCTCTGATGGGCCAAGCCTCCTTCCAAGCCTCCGTGATGAGCAGCCAATCTGCCAGGCGGAGTTATGGCCGTAGAAATGTGAAGGATTTTGGGCTGACCCACCAGTCCCAAGACACTGTGAGACGTGGTCCCAACCTCAAAAGAAGCTTGTGTTCGATGTCATAATTGGAGAAAGGTATGGTGTACAAGTCAGTTGCATCGGTCTTGCGCTTAAGGCCAAGACTCGTGACCTTCGCTGCATGGCAAGAATCTGCAGCCAGCCATTGGCTGCTAGGCTCCGAATCACTGCCACACGAAAAGAGGAGTTTCTTGGCGCTTGGGCCTGCTTTTCGTAGCGGTGGCGGCCTACCCTGCTAGCCAGGTAAGCCTTATCAATGAAATGAACACCAAAGATCTATTCGTTAAGAAAGCGATGCTATCCCTTTCCTTGTGCTCGGGAGGGCCACGCTAGTAGGAGGGGATTAATGTAGTTCCGGCCGTCTTGGCATCAAAACTGTAGTTACAAATCGAGCCCGCAAACTAGGAAAGCAGCTATCTATACCCATTAGACCCACTTTATATATATAATATTAGATCAAATTCGGGTCACCTAATTAGACTATATCGCTTAGATCTTAGATTACTATATACCGGGATTGTAGTTAGAGAGCTTTATTTCATGGCTGCGTCACCCAAATTTCTTATTCAAAACCCGAAACCGAAGTTCTGCCGCTTTTTTATAAAGCGACAATTATGTATAGCTTCAACATATCTTCATTTAACAACTACATATTCAATCGTAGAGTGCTATAGTCATATCGCACAAATCGCAATATTCTTTAGAGTGAAATACACTACTTAATAATGAAATCTAAGTCTGACGTCTAGATTAGCCAATTGATAACCCTGTCTAGCTGTTTCCGAGAGCGTGACCCTCCCAAGCACGAAGAAAGGGTAAAGGCAGCCTTTCTTGAACGGCGCAGAAAAATACCAACGCAAGCATTTCGCGGACCGTTGAAGCGGGCCGGTGAACTTCGTTCCTCGCCCACCCTCTCCAACGTCTCGTCTTATTCCGTCTGACTTGCATCAAGGCGCAATGATATATCGCTCAGCCTTACCCCCGCAGCCGAGTCGAAATAGCTGAAGTCCTTTCTCAAATAGCAGTTATACTGCCGGGCGCGTCGCTTGCGATATCGATTAGCTGAAGGGAGTACATCTCCCCACTCACGGGAGTGAGTGAATATTGGCATATACTTGAGTTACCACCTCAATACCCGAAAAAGCACTCTCTCATAGGTCGCTTACATTTCAGCCTCGCAATCGATTCTAGCTCTTTACCTAAAGCTCATTTTTCCACGGTAGAGAAGGAGGATAGCTAGAGGATTCTTCAAAGGAAAAGCCCCTGACAGCGAGCGCGAGTCTATCGAAACTGACGTGAGCCGGGCTCAATCGCCCGATGCGTTCCTCTAGGTAATCCAGTCCTCCACCCTCCCGCTCGTTTCGGGCGCAGTTCTCATGCGTGAAATCTTCAGCCTGGTCCTATCATGCATGTGCCCCACCATCTCCGCAAAAATGCAGGAAAGACGAGCTGCACTGTCTCATTTTCCCAGTTTGCAAACAAATCTCCTTAGATATTCCTCTCCTCGCAATTCGCTTTGGTGTCCTGGAATTACCTTCCTCCTGCTTTCAAACCAAGTGAACATTCAAAAGATTCATGCCAGACGAAATGAATTATCCCGACTGGCCGGCCCTTGCTCCGCCTCCCGGTGTACTTTCAAACTTCAATGATCCGAAGACTTTGTCGACCAGTCTCCTAACCGACAACGCTATCTTTCTCTCCTTGATGCTCATAGTCGTCGGAATTCGACTTTATTCTCGGGCTTTCCTGTCGCACGCCGTAGGATGGGATGACTGTAAGTGCCGAATGAAGACCTTGTGCAGTACTGGGCTTACGGTCTTGAGATATGTGTCTTCTGGCCGCGGTGAGTCTCTTTGAGAGGTACTATGACACATATTCTGACAGGTCCCATTAGCTTTGCTCAGCCGCGCATAGTTTCATGACTCTCTGGAGTGAATACTTCCGCTCTGAATATAAGACGCCGCTGACACACAGAAAGTCATTCAATATGGATTTGGGAGGCATCTGTGGGACATTCGCGCAATCACTCTGCTTCCGTCTCATCTGAAAGTAAGAGACTCGCAAATGGTACGCTCAGCTTGGGGCTGCCCGCCGCTAACACAGAATCAGCAAATGGGCTCCATGGGCATCATCGGATCCGCCTCAACATTGAGCATTAAAATATCGATCTTCTTATTCTATCTCCGCCTTTTCCGTGTGAATCAACGGTTCAGGTACTGGGTCCATTCCGGCATGCTCTTCTGCATCTTATATACGGCAACTTATTGGGCATTCCAAACCGCCAGCATAATTGAATGCAACACGCCACAGAGTCTGGACATCGCAATCTGTGCCAACAGTGACATTACTACCGTTATAGTTACCGTGATCAATGTCGTGGCCGATTTTTATGTTCTCGCTTTGCCTATTGGAATAGTCGGACGACTTAATGTTAAACGTACCAAGAAACTTGGCCTTATAGCCGTCTTTCTGTGCGGTCTTATGTATCCACCCCTGCTCATACTATTAGACCATTGGGGTCTTTGGCTAACCTCCTTCGAATAGCGCAAGTCTTGCAAACGTCGCAAAACTAATTTATGCGACTTTGCATCTCCATGACCAAGATTCCCTCTGGTCCGCTGCATTAACGACTGAATTCGCGTGAGTCACCCTTCCTGACTGTTCCATCCAAGGGTACTGACCCCACAAGTATCGTCGAGATGAACCTTGGCATCATCGCGGCCTCTATGCCAGCACTGCCGCAATTCTTTGCTAAAGCCCGGATTTTCCATGCCTCCACTTATAGCTTTTTGCATCGCTTACTCAACAGACGTGACCCGTCATCCCTCTCCTGGTTCGGTCAGTCATCAAAAAGCCTGGCTTCGGGGTACCCAGAAAGGCAGCGTGGTCCTGCTGTTCGAGGTGAGAGCGAGACTGAAGTACAGAGCTTGCCCGATATACGAGCATACACGAGGATCGACGTGAGTCATGATGACATCGACCTCGGCGGAGGACTTGCGCAGACCTAGAATTCGGACGCTACGCGGGGGGGTTGAAACTTGCTGTGTGGTGTAAAAGAACAGGGTCTTAAATATTCGTGGCGATCCCTGAGAAAGTTGTGTCAATGGAGCTCGGGTTGGTTGACACCTTGAGCACTTGGATATCCCAGGTGCTGTTCAATAGAGTTGCCTGAAGCAGATACCGTGGACAAAATTCCATCTCGGAGATGTTTCTCTATGATCACCTCGCGAGCTTCCCGTGTCATTGTGCCACATTCTTTAGTGGGGTCTGCTGTATGGCGCCGTCTTTCTAGCGGACGAGGCTCGGGGTGTCGTTACGCAAACACACTGGATACTCTTTGACCAATAGAACAGGACTAGCAAGATTAGCTAGCAGTCACGCGACTCCATCTGACGTGCCCACTACATCGTCATGCTTATCCATCGTTCGCCATCTTTTTCCTACGGGCTTCGATGTTCTCAACTCCATAGCCATGCAGGGGCGGCAACAGCCAGTAAATTCCAGAGATATTCCCCAACTCATGCCTATCTCCCGCCACAATCTTCGCGCGAGAGTCACCTTTACGGCTTGAGCTTGGACTTGCAATAACATGAAGATGGCTCGCTACACAATTACTAGTGGCATCCGTCGTGGAAAGGGCTGGAAGATCAATTTGAGATAGTAATAGAACCCTGCTTGATAGTTGACCACCTACGCTGCTCCGGGTGCTTGAAAGCCGTGTTGAGGGTATCGGCGCTTTTTGCTTCCTGGATACAGGTAGCTAGTACTATGAGGGGAATGGCTATGGTGATGGGAGACGCAGGAGCCGATATCAGGCAGTGGGCTGAGGGACTGGAAGGAGATGTTTGGGATTGGGTTGGAGAGGTGAGAGACTGTTGCTGCCGTGAAGGGGCAAGCGGTTTCTTCAAGGCTGAATTTTGAGGTTTGTGTTTCCGGAAAAACGGTGTAGATGGGATAAATCATGTAAGCTGGTGTCCGTTCGGGAGCTCCAGAGGTGATTTGAACCTCACGTAGCCCGGAGTCATGTTCAGACGACTGGACGACAAAATTGTCCTCCACTGAGAGCCAGTTTCCAGAGGAAATGTGAACCGGTCTCGCTTCCGGAGACGCAGAAAGCTTCTCCAACGCCTCAGCATCGCACAAATCCCAATCATACCCTCCAACTGCATCCACACCGCCTTCAGCTCCAGAACCGGGTTATGCGGCTGCCGCTGTCTTGCCAAACTCATTCTGATCTGCTCAAAGATGCCCGCATCCGCGGCATTCTAACCAGGCTCCACGACGGCCAGAGTTGCAGGGCGACCGTCAAAAGATGCAAACAATGGACCGCGTCCTTCGGACTTCCATTCAGGGGTGTCTATGACAATGATGAAGCCGCCAAGGTGTAGCTCGCGGCCGTGGCTCTCGGGTATCAACGCAACCGTGGGGAATTGGTCAACGAGGAGGCTGCGCTGTTGGCGGTGTTGGAGTTCCAGCTTCTGGTGCGCTATGCATGCATGTGGGGAGGGAAGAGGAGCGTAGATAGCGAAAGTAGCTTCGTAATCTGCAACTCCAACTCGCCTAGGAAAGTGGCTATGCCGATGAGATTGTCCTTGAGATTGGTGGTGGTGGAGTAGACCTGCCTGGAGAATTGCGGTAACTGAGCACTGTCATCTCCTTTCCATATGCTTTGAAAGGGGCGACCTTGATGGTCATGGGAATTGTCGAGTGCCATTCCCGCTTTGGGCGCGGCCGTGTTTCATCTCGGTCATAGACCCGTGCAACTTGTTGAGTGCCTGGCATTTTCTACCAGACACAATTGTGTAACCTTTGGGTTAGAGCTGGGAATTGAAACCAGTTACGTTTCAATCACGTAAATCATCTAGTCCAAATTACTATACTGGATCCTGTCTTGTGATTCATCATGTTGTGACTTTCAAGTTTGACACCCTCAGTAAGGACGCCTCAACGATTGATAAGCTGAATCCTAAAGCTATTATGTCGCGCGCATTCTTAATGCTGGTAAAGTTTGTATCTAATGGAAAGGAGTGACGGTGTCCTAGAACCTCAAAGACATCATATAGGGTTTCCATTCCGCGCTGTCTTTCGGGCTTTCTTCTGCGCACATCTCTCGCTTCGCGCTGCGATATTGACCTGGTGTTCGTCGCATCTGAGGTCTACCCTCTCATGCGTATGGTAACGGACCTGCTCCAGACGGTTTGTCGGGTACCAGTAAGGCCACATGGTGTCCCAGGATACCCAGCGTCATCAGTAACAGACCGCGATAAGCAAATGGTGGAACACACTGCGAAACGGAGAAGGAAAAGCAAGATCGATCGACCAATCCCAAGATACACTCAAAGTCCGACCTAGGTCGAAGAGAAGCCGACGTGGTCTGTCATACAACATCGAAGATGAACAGGGGCAATTAAGTTGCTTTTGTGCGGCATGTATCTTTTTCTCAACCTGGAGGTAAACTAGGATATCGTATCCTCCGCTCGCTTGAATCTGCAGCCACTTGTCGTGAACCGTTCTGGCATCCTATTGAGTCTGGGTAATTGCGAAGACCTCCTCCAGGAGTGCTATTCCTGGAGAGAGCCCATCGATAGATTCCCTGGTGATGGTCCGAATAAGCGTCAGCTGTGCCCCACAAGGTCGCATGGAGATCCACTCCATGGCGTAGTAGTGTTCGAAGAAAGGGTTCCCGTTCTGGCGGATTTGCAAATGAGCACAAACCTACAGCTAGGGCATGGCATGAATCTATCTTGTTGTTTTTATAGTACGCTGCGTACTGCGACTACATGTACTTCGCACCTTCCAGCGATCCTTCGTGGTAAACAAACACGGGGCAGAAAGCCGAGTCGTCATCATCTGCAAACTGTAGCAGCATTCTGAAGGTGTAAATCTTTCGCTTCGTAGTTCCTGCGCTGTCACACCTCGATGTGTGGGACCCCACTACTCGTAAGAGTTTGCTATTGGCCGACATAGCGAGTTGAGCTTTGGATGGGAATGGCTACTTACATATTGGGACATAAGATGGTGGGCTCAGATTCTCGGCCTTATTGAAGCAGCCAAGAGCACAAATCGGGCCTGTGCACCCCGCGGCGACCTATGTAGGAGTAGCTCCCATTTGACCCGGTAGTATGAAGCATGTTATAGTCTGACATGAAAGAGGGTGAATTCATATTGATCTACTGGGAACGGCGATAGTTGTCCATCGGTGAATGCGGTTTGTAGTCTTTGAATGTCGCCGTTTCTACACATGTCCTCTGCTTGTAATAGAACTGGCGATAAAGAGCTCATCACAGGATATGTTCTTAGTGACCTTGAGACTCGGCCGAAAGAATCTGGCACCCGTAGCTCCAAAGCGTCTTTCAGGAAAGATGGTCCGATAGAAGAGATACTATCCTCATATACAGGGGTTCTCCGACGATCTTAAGAATTGCCAGTGGTTTTTGACTTAGCTTCAACATTGATATTGCCCAAAATACCTTGGTATCATACTTCACTCTTTTTGTGTTTGAATGTGAAAGGACTAGCTCCTTTGAATTCCACCAAAGGCGGATGTGATTCCTCTGTGATAGTACAGTCTTCCTTCCTGCTCGAACGGTAGACTGTAGATTCCTTGTTTTGAACCAAAACATCAAAGTGGGACTTGATGTCCTGCTCCAACTCTGTGACTGGCAACTAGGCTGTGCAAGCAGCAGAATCCTTTGTGAGACTGGCACAAGTGGTTTGGATTTTATGTACACTCATGACTTTTAGTAATCTTCACCTACGTAGGCTTCTGGATACTTACTCAAGATTGTTTGAATTGATCATGGGAGCGGTCAGCAGATTCCTTGTGGACTCTCTGAGCTGAATCTGGAATTTCCGAATCTGATCCTTCTCCGTAAAAAGCTTCATGGCCGCCAATCTCCTTTGCATGAGGCTTTGGTAGTTCAAGGAGATTGTGAACACGTCCACTGACTTTGCAAGCACCCCAAATCTGCTTTCGCAGACTTTCATTGCGCTGCTGATGCGCTGCGAATTGGGTAAAGGTGCACAAGAAGTCTGTTGATGAACGAAGTCCTGGACTTCTGCCATGTTTTGCTGTACTCTACCTGGTCGAGAGTCAGCAATCTCAAGTAATTCGCTTCGTGCATCGTGAAGGCTGCGTAGGAACTTGCTGATATCGTAGGCAGTTGCTATGAGCTGAACCACTGCAGAAGCGCCAGATATGGCATCCATAGCACTATCGTGAAAGTACTTAGACTACAAGTAGTAGTCTTGTCTGTCTTTGGAAGGGAGATCGATGTTCGAGAGACCGTGGAGGGGATAACGCTGCGCTGAGGCATTTGATCTTGACATTACCAGCAGAGCGGCTCTTTTGCCGGTACGACATTCTGGACTTAACAACAAGCAGATGAGCGATAGACAATTGCATCCTGATTCGGCAAACCAGTGTCGTGGGATCTACCCATGCAGCGGCATCCACTCATCATTGCAAACGAGTCCGAACTTGCAGAAACACTGGCTCGTTCAGGAGAAGTGACCGTAATCCGTACTGTGGGCATCTTCAAGGGCAGAAAGCACACAGCCTGCCAGGCCACGTTACCGAAAGCATAACGGATCACGCCAGCGCGAGAGCCTGGTACGTCATGGAACGGCAGACTTGATGCACATGATTCATTCAGAAGGGGTGGAACTCAAGGCTGAAAGTAATTGACGATGCTCTCCTGACTAACGAAGAACGGAGTGGTACTCCGTATAAGCTCGAAAGAAACCAGAAATTCGGTTTGCCTTTTCAAGACAACTCGTCCACCAATATGAGGATGCCGAGGGAGGGCAACCGAAGATCCAAATCAGAACACTGGAGTCTAAGCTCATGTATCATCGGATCCATCCCGACGAGATGCTCGTGAATTGATTTGGTCAGGCGAAGTGTGGTTCTGCCCAAGTAAATCCTGCTCTGACAACAGGATGGACCGAGCCAAGCGCCAATGTACCCAGTCAGATCTATTCCCTGGCTGCACTTTCCTTTCAGCACTTCCTGCGAGTCATTAGTTGCTGCAAAGCATCTAGGTTCCAGCTCAGCTCATGACATCCCAAAAATATGCGCAAATGCAAGGTCACAGGTGAGATGATAGGGCTGCTAGCGCCGATCTTCGGACAGACTTGGCGCCCAGTCTCGTACAATTGGTGTCCGCCTTTTACTACTCCTCGACGCTTTGACTTTCGAAGCAAATCACTTGGGCTCGACATCCAGATGGGAGACAGCGGGGGAGGCACCGAGGTCACATACGATTCGCTGGAGCATGTCCTGAGGAATGATACCAAGGTCAAAGTCGCCGGCGTCGACATCGATGGCGTCCTCCGCGGCAAGCTCATGTCCAAGAAGAAGTTCCTGGGAATCGCAAAGGATGGCTTCGGCTTCTGCTCTGTCATTTTCGGCTGGGACATGCACGATCAGACGTACTTCAAGGAATTGAAGATCAGCAATGCCGAAAATGGGTACCACGACATCATTGCCGTGCCGGACTTGAGCAGCTTCAGGAGAATACCTTGGGAGGATGATGTGCCCTTCTTCCTCGTCAGCTTCCTCGATCCGGACCATCGAGGTCCAGTCAGTGCCTGTCCGAGAGGTCTGCTCAAAACCGCGGTCGAGAAGTTGGAAAAGCAAGGCCTGGGGGCGATGGCTGGAGGTGAGAGATCTGGACCCATTACGGATATCATTGTGCACAGGAAGTCCTGACTTTGTGCTGCCGGACTCCGCTGACCTGGCACCCAATAGCTGAGTACGAGTTCTTCCAATTCAGAGCGCCTGTCAACAACGCGATAGATCCCAAAGAACGCAACTCGTCCTCTACCGCAAAGTTCCTCCAGGAGAACTCGCACAACGCGCTTCCACCTCTCACAGAAGGCATGTTTGGCTACAGCCTGACGAGGCCAGTCCATAATCAAGAGTACTACTATGGCATCTACGACGCTTGCGAGAAATTCGGGTGCGGGATTGAAGGCTGGCATACAGAAAGTGGTCCTGGAGTCTTTGAAGCAGTATGGAAGCCTTCTATTCAACATAGACCCCGAGCTCATGATTATACCAGGCCCTTGAATTTGGGGAGGTCAAGCAGATGGCGGATAAAGCTGGGCTGTTCAAGTCGGTGATGCCCGGAGGCCCTCCACATTCCCGCACTGCTAAGGACCATTCAGATACGTCGTCAAATCCTTGGGCAGTAAATTTGGCATCACCCCCTGCTTCATGGCCAAACCCCGAGAAGGCCTTCCTGGCAATTCTGGCCATATGCACCTGTCGATCGTTGACAAATCAGGCAAGAACATGTTCTATCGCGGGTCGAAGGATCCCCACCCTCCATATCAGGACCTTGAATACCTCTCTGATATGGGACGTCACTTCCTAGCTGGTCTATTAGATGGGTTACCAGATGTCATGCCTATTGTTGCGCCCACCATCAACTCTTACAAGCGACTCGTCGAGAACTTCTGGGCCCCTGTGACCGTATCATGGGGACTGGAGCATCGAGCTGCTTCAATACGACTGATAGCGCCACCCACCGCAAGTGCAAAGGCTACGAGGTTCGAAGTACGTGTTGCCGGCGCGGACGCCAATCCCTTCCTCGTGCTGGCAGCCATTCTCGCCCTCGGTTGGCGCGGCGTGGAGAAGAAGCTGGAGATCAAAGTGCCGCCTCTGGGCAAGGGGCAGAATGTCGGAGGTGCATCAGATCAAGGGGTGCGCCTTGCAAAAGGATTGAAGGAGGCTACGGTGCAGATGATGAGGCAGGAGAGTGTGGCCAGGGAAGTCTTTGGGGATGAGTTTGTGGAGCACTTTGGAGGCACGAGAGAACATGAGATCAGGCTATGGGACGAAGCCGTCACTGATTGGTAAGTGTAGCATGCGAGAGGCTTGCACAAGTGCTGACAAAACAACGCAGGGAATTCAAAAGATACGTTGAGACGGTTTGAAGACGAGGTGTGAAGCCTGAGTCGTTTTGATCACATCCCTGACTCTCTATTGGCTTCTGATTTTCTTGGGAGTCCTGGAATTCATGTTTGGGTAGTTCAAGGCTCCGATGATACCCTGACAGGCGTCCAGGCGACCAATTGATAAGTAGGTACTTTGTGCGAAAAAGATCGGACGGTGCGCGACATGAAGCTTGATGCAAGGTCCACTTAATGATCAGATGTGCTTTTGTGCTTGGTTTTCAATTGAGCTCTCTGCAGCAGTCGGATCAATGATGTCGGAGACATAACTCGTACATTCCGCCGCCAACCGATTCGTCATCATTACCCAAGACCTTAGTCAGAAAAAAAAAGACAAAATACCGCCTTTCGGAAGTGGACTATGCCTTTTTATTTTTACCCCTCCATTTCAAACTCCGGTCTTTTGGTGGGGCATTGACTTTTCTCCAACAACAACAATTCCATTACGACTTAAAATCTCTCACTCCTACAACTACTCTTCCTAACCTCTCAAACATCAAGTTTGCAACCTCCCATTTCCCTCTCTCTCTCCCTCGCTCCCAAGGATTCAAACTCCAGCCTTAAACCTCGCGACCTCATCAAAGCAAGTCAATTGATTGACAACCGCCATCATGCCCATCGAACCCCCCAAATCCGACTCCCTCAAGGAGCTCTTCAGCCTCAAAGGCAAAGTCGTCGTCGTCACCGGCGCCTCGGGCCCCACCGGCATCGGCACCGAAGCCGCGCGCGGGTGCGCCGAAATGGGCGCCGACGTCGCCATCACCTACTCCTCCCGGGCCGAAGGCGGGATCAAGAACGCCAAGGAGCTCGAGGAGAAGTACGGCGCCAAGGCCAAAGCCTACAAGTGCAACGTGGGCTCCTACGCCGACGTGGAGAAGCTGATCAGCACCGTCATCGCCGACTTCGGCCGCATCGACGTCTTCATCGCCAACGCGGGCCGGACGGCCGACGCCGGCATCCTCGACTCGAGCGTCGAGGCGTGGAACGAGGTCATCGCGACGGACCTGACGGGCACCTTCAACTGCGCCCGCGCCGTCGGGCTGCACTTCCGCGAGCGCAAGACGGGCTCCCTCGTCATCACCGCCAGCATGTCCGGCCACATCGCCAACTACCCGCAGGAGCAGACGTCCTACAACGTCGCCAAGGCCGGCTGCATCCACCTGACCAAGTCGCTGGCGAACGAGTGGCGCGACTTCGCCCGCGTCAACTGCATCTCCCCGGGCTACATCGACACGGGCCTCTCCGACTTTGTCGACCAGAAGGTGCAGCAGATGTGGCATGACATGATCCCGCTCGGCCGCGACGCCAAGGCCAAGGAGCTCAAGGGCGCCTATGTCTATTTGGCGAGCGACGCCAGTTCGTACACGACGGGGGCTGATATCGTCATTGATGGCGGGTACACTACGAGGTAGAGGGTGGCGGTGCTGCTGCTGCTGATGCTCATTGCTTGGCATGACTTGATCTGCATCCGGACTGGATGGTGGGTTGAGGAGGATCAAGATGGCAAATTGCACGTGGACAGATAGAAAATGAAAATCCGATCTACGCCCATTGTCCTCTCCCCATGCTGTGCAACTGCTACTCCTCCCCGTGTACAAGGGTCACCTCTAGCTTGCGGATTCTCAAGTTAGAGAGCCAGAAACCTTGCTCTCATGGTCCAAAAGTATATGCTCAGCCCGTGATGCACGTTGACCATCGTAATTTCCCAATCATTACCAACGACACACATCAGTTGATGATTCCATTGAAAGGGGACCTAATACATCAGTATTTGGTAGAAAAATAGCAGTATATGTTTGAAACATCAGGTCAATGTCAAAGCTTACTAGACAAGCATTGAGTCATCAAATGAGTGAATTAATCTCCTCATGTATGTACATAGCTAGTTCGAATGGTTTGCAGATGCCTGTCCCTGCCCTCCATCACATTTTCAGAGCCTAGCTTTTCCCGTCGTAAATCCATCACTGTACCAAAGTCAGTCCGACTCTCCGGTATACCCGCCACACCCGTAGAACGGACTCAACACACTCACGAACCTTCCACATACTCACAGATGCTGGTGGTAAAAGTCGAGCAACACTTGATAACCACGCTCATATTCCTTCTTGACCTTTTCATCCTCGAGGTCGCCTCGAGCGGCCATCCATCCGTGGATCTGGTCGCTGAAGGTCTCAATGTGGTTCTCCACGCTCAACGTCTTCCCAAACTCCTTGACTGCATTCGCGTCCTCGTCGCCGGATGCGAGCATG